GAGAACTCATTCCTCCATATATAGGGAAATTAAGCCTTAAAAGATTCTTAGATAGGTAGATTTTGAAGAGGCCATAGCACAGAACTTAGTGAAAGTCTACTATTTGAGAGTTAATACTATCAGCTTCTCAGATTTTCTCATGAAATGTGTGAGTGTGCGAACTCCAAATGTACCTCAGAAATGTTTTTTTATTCTTGCAAAAGTAGCTGTGCAGAGTAACAAAAGCATGGATTTTCATGGCAAAGGGCATATTTTGATATTGGTGTTTCATTATTCATTTACTGAAGTTCCCCCTCCATTAAAGATGAAACAAACAGGAAGAGTCTGCTGAGGGGAATAGTGAAGAGTTCACTCAGTAGTAAGCTGCTACATTGTGCTAACCAAACATAGATCCATATTATCCTCAGAAGGGGAGATGAAAAACTGAGCCCTAAGAAGTCTTTCAAAGGCAGTTTAGGCAACTGTATCCGATCCATTAGTTCTCTTTTTAAACTTGTTTTGCATGGATATAGTCCCATCATCTGTTATCTGAGCAATGTCTAAATGGTTCTTATGGATGACATATTCAAAGAAAATTTAAAAATGTGGCTCTTCGGGTTCTCCAGAATCATTGGTATAATGAGCATGAATCTATTCGCTCAACACCTAAAAGGGGTTCTTTTCTGTTTTTCAAATATCAAATATTTTCCACCTAAAATCTCTTGTTCTGGAATCTTTTCTGCTGTTTTAATGCTTTTGTTACTGCAATAAACAGATAATGCTTTGTATTTCTGACTAGTTGAAAGTGCGTCTATTATACATTATAACTCTTTTTTTTAGTGTCTGTGGATATATATTTTAATGAATACAGCAGAGGAGTATTTGAAACTTAGTTAAGAACTGATGTTAGATTCAAATTCAGAAAAATATGAATCTGATAATTTGATTAAACTGTGAATTGATATTCATAATCTGTCCTGCTATCTGAAGTGAAACAGAAATGTAATAGTTTTATACTTTTAGTCAAGAATAGCCGTGTTTGCTAATCAAATACATTACTATCAGCCTTTAATAATAATCTTTGCTTAAGCAAGGTGCGCAGAAGAAAACATACTGGAGCTAGCAAAGGAAATATGCTCTCCTACTCTGGAGGTCTTCAAAACCCGCCTGGATGCCACCCTGTGCCACATGCTCTAGGTGTGCCTGCTTGAGCAGGAAGGTTGGACTAGATGATCTGTAGAGGTCCCTTCCAACCTTAAATATTCTGAAATATTCTGAAATATTCTGAAATATTCTGAAATATGGTAAGTGATTAGCTATACTTTTTCTCTGTAGCAAGGTCCATGAATTTAAGGACTTTCACATATTAATAAACAGAATTAACAGTCTGGAAATTAAACAGAATTTTGTATTTTTCCTTTTCACTTACCTTTGCCAGTTGTTCATGAATTTCTAATAAGCTTGGTCTGTTGAGCTTATTTCCACTGACGCTGCCAGTGTTTCTATAGTAATCAATTTTAGGAACTGGATCCATGGTGTTATGGCCAAAAGTTTGCAGATAATACATATTACTGTGAGTATCATAGGGATGTAAGCTAGCTTCTGTTTTCTCTCCATTTTGAAGGAAGCTGTCAAACAATTCTCTCTTTTCTGGTCTGTAGCTGATTTTCAGTCTGTTATGTGCTTCCTCTGTGAAGGATGTTTCTTCATAATGTGGTGGGTCAGAGCACACATTCTCTTGGGATGTTTCATTGTTGTCATGGCTTTCATTAATTATGTTAACTTGAAACCGATTTGCATTTGGATCCAAGAATAAGTTTGGAGAATTATTCATTGACATCTTCAGGGATGTTCTGGGCTTAGGTTACTCTTCTGTGGCTGCAACTTGTGCTACCCTAGTTACAGCAAAAGGGCTAATGTTGTGTCTGAAGTCTTGGCTCTTAGATTAACAAAGATTTTAGAATATTTTCTTGAAAGCAGTCTTCCTACTGCAGTCTTCCTACTGCTATCCTCTGTGGTTCTGCTATCAAAAAAATATAAATAAAACATGTCTATTAACTTGCATAGTTAGGCAAATCTTCCACTGCAACCCCCTTGCAAAATCCCCACAAGGTAGCTTATGATTTGCTGCATAAACAATAGATAATTCAAAGACCGATTTTGCGGGGATTTTTCCATACATCAAAAATGGGCTTTGGATCCTATTCCAAGCATTTGAAATTATATATCAAATCTAGCATTTCTCTTAATTATGTAATGTGAAACTGATGGTAGTGAAAGTGTAGGCAGTACAATACAAGGGATGCAACATAGACTCTATTGATACCCATATACTGCTTTTTTTCCTCCCTTTGGAGTATTATGATAGTATGTATATATCTCCCATAGTCTAATAGCAATGAATATGAAAATATGAAAAGTTTGAGTCAAACTTATTTTTGCAACTCCAAATTTGAAGTTTTCAATAGTTACAGGATGGTAGACAATTTATGAGCATAGCATGAGACAATTTATGGGCAATGAGACCATTAAAGCATAGCAAATCATTCATTTTAGTTCTAAATACAATTAATGCCATAAGGATTAAATAAGCAACTGAAAAAAAATATATGATGGCATTGTGTTTGCTGAACTGTAAGGGATTAAGTAAATGATTATGTCCAAATGACTGTGGCAGAGTGGTAATTACTGAAACATATTAAGAATATGTCCTAGGCATCAGAAGGGTCATATAATTTGACATTGAATTTTACGCTTGTGCACTCAAAACATCCTTCTCCCAGTTTGAAGGGAATAGAATGGAATAGAATTCAGAACAGAATAGAATCAGATTGGAAGGGACCTTGGGAGCTCATACAGACCAGCTTTTTGCTCAAAGTAGGGTTAACATCAAAACGAGGTCACTTAAGACTTTGATTCATGAGGGATTTGAAATCTTCCCAGGACAGATTTCGCAACCCTCCTGGGCAGCCTATTCCAATGCTTAATTATTTTCATACTGATTTTTTTCCTTTATATCTAGTTGGAACTTCTCTCACATGTCTGCTGTGCACCACATGAAAGAATCTGGCTCTACCTTGTCTGTAAGCTCAGTGTAGGTGATGAAGAGTTGCATAGGTCACCCAAAGCCCTTTGTTTTCCTGGCTAACCAAACCCATTTCCATCAGCTTCAGGGAAGGGAACTCAACCTCAAGTCTACCGGCCCTGACCATCCTGGTAGGCCTCCAAAAGCTTGCTCCAGTTTATTAGTATCATTCTTACATGGGTAGGGAAACAAAATATATTAATATAAAAGAATATGTGAACTAAAAATTAGGGTGAATAAGCCCATTAAAAGATTTTTTTCAGTTTTGTGCTTTCAGCGGTAGGTTAGATGACCTCCAGAGATTTCTTTGAACTTAAAATTTTCTATGGTTCTGTGAAATGCATTTGGCTATTTGGCAGTAGAAGATAAGTACAGTATCTCTTTATGCCTGAGCATTGTAAATATTGCCTAAAATTCCATTTCAAAGTTACGCTTTGAAGAGAGGATAATGAAATGCCCTCCAAATTCAGCATGAGGTATACCTAAAGTCTGTATCTTGATTTAATCCATCAGCTGTAGCTAATGTTCTGCTGTAACCTCCCTGCAAAGATGCCACTTTATAACTCCCTCTTTATTACCCAAGATTTTTTTCCTGCTTGATGTTTTGTAACTTCACAGCAACGTGTTACTTTATTTTAGGTTTTTTACTTTGTATGGTTTTAGATGATTCATATTACTTTTATTATTACACATTTCTGATCATATGTAGCATTCAGCTTCCCTCAGCCTTTTACAGTTATCAGGAAATGTTTCATTTCCAGGTATTGAAGGAACAAAACTAAATCTTTTGTCATTAAGATCAGTGAAACCAGTTTTGTTTCCATCTCCATGACTTTAGATGACTGAATGATATTCTGCATGAAATTCTCTTTGATGACAGTGATGCTTTTGCTACCAAGTAAAACGATTCCATAACTTCACTGTCTTCTTTCATTTCCATAGTGATACTACTTTGCTAAGAAAATAAAAGTCTCTTACCTTGCTGCGGTTCTTCAAAAAAAAATTTTTACGGTGTATTTCCAGGGGATATCTCAATTGTTATTTGTAATTGATTTTGAGTTTTTATTCTAGCATTATGCAGAATTAGCGTATTTACCGTATTCGGAGTAGATGAACTTACCACTCGACCTGCAGTTTCAGTAAAGGACAGTCTGCCTCTTTTATTCATGTGTGTAGCATGTCCCTCTCTTTGAGGCGTTACAGGCTCTGTTATTGGCCACATCTTTCTCCTGTTTAGTATGCTGAATGGACCATCCAATCCCTTTCTTTGAAAGACATTTTAAAATATTTCTAGATGGTGATTTAGAGAAACATTCTAGCTTGTGAATTATTAACCTGGAAATGTACCTGTTCATTCTTGGAAGAAATAAAGTTGTTACTTCAAAGTTTATTTAGTTTGTTTCTTCAAATACATAAAATGTATTTATAGGCACCAACAATTACCAATCTGTTTATGTGTACCAAGATATCAGTATATGCTTTATGTCTAAGGTCAGTGATGATGTAATTTGAAATATTTTTCTTTTTTTAATTTCATTTTATTAAAAAAAAAATCATTTACACAGAAGGGCTTTCAGAGAGGTAGGATGGTAGAAGGAAAGGGCTGTATTCTTCCTTCCTTGAATTGAGGCATCTGCAATCTAGTATTAAAAAATTGCTTTTAGAAAGTCAGACTTGAATACAGTTTGCTCAGTTCTGTTCTGTGTGTTCAAGATAGATGTTAAATTACCTGGTGAGCACTTCATGAAAATCAGTGAAAAAAAGTAAATTCCTGTCTGTCACAGTTACAGGATTTATGGTATTGCAAAATTTCCAAGAGGGTTCAATATCCCCATTCCCTCCATTTCCCTCTCTGCTATTCTGATTTTATGCACAGATCAATCTACTTTTATTTTTAATATTTCATAATGGACATAAGTTTGTATCTGTGCAGGTTTCCACTCTGCATGGCTTATGCAGAAGAGATGTGGATTTCAGTGAGGCCTGTAGGATGCCTTGTGTACTCTCTAAGATGCACTGACGGGCAGGTAGGTTCTCTTTAAGAACCAAGGTAGGTTCCCTTATTCCATATGTGTTTTTGAATTGTTTGCTCCTAACACTGTTAAAAGTTTTACTACATGCATTTACAGAAAATCTTTGAAAATTTATGTTTTGTGATGTCCCTCTCGGGCTCTTTTGTCTTTTGGGAATGCTGAGTCAGGAAATTATGAAGGTTTGCAAGCAGAAGGAAATTTGATAATAGCATGCAACTTGGGTCAGGAATGAAAGAAATACAACGGTATTTTGGTTTCTTTGGATATGACTGCCTTGTTTGCAGTATAATTTAGGGATGGATGAACTATATTTAGACAAGATAATTTATGTACCTTCAACACACTATCCTGGCAGCAGAGAGCTCAGCCCAGGCTGTGAAATCTGGAAGAGTAATTGGGAAGTGACTTTGATGGCAGTTATGTTTGGAGTGTGCATGCCATTTAAAAAAAAAAAATCAAAAAAGTGTCAAACTAAGTGGATGGGGCTATCAGGCAGTAATGGATCAAATCACATAAACTGGCAAATGAAAGTCTGCCTTTGATTTTACAGTTAAATTTGACTAGCATAAATGCAACAGTCTAAATTTCTGAGGGTGTGGCAATTTTTTTTTATACAGAATCTGAAGCACTTGTATTCACACAATTGTTATAAACTTGAGCAAAAGCAGTGTTGTTATKGTTGGCTGTTTCTCTTTGACAGCCATCAGGCAGGAGCTTCATGTACAGCCCTGTACAATACAGCATTTCATATTCCAAGTGGCATTTGAGGTTCAATGTTCTGTTGGCTGCCCTGTCTAGCAGATAGGGCAAAAGGGCAATATGTATTTTTCAGAATACCCGAAAGAAACAGCTCTAACAGATCTCCTTGTCTTTACACCTAGTTGCAGAGCTGTTTAGCAAAAGTGACAGTGCTTAAAATTCTGATGCCAACCTTCTCAGAAACAGAATTGAATTTCTGTCAAGTCCTGTCACACTTGCTAAAGAGCTGTGTATATGAAGGTGACCTTGAACAACCATTTTTTAGTCTCTGCTTTCACTGTTTGTTCTTCTGTTTGATAGGTTCTCCTGTGTCCGGTTCCTCAGAGTGACAGTCTGGAACATACAGTGTGCAAGGACACAGGAGCACACAGCAAATAAACAGCTATGGAGAAGACCTGGAGGGCAGAGAGATCCCCAGCCAGCTCTGGACTCCAGTCCTTTGAAGGGCTGGGCTCAAATGAGTGTCTACCCTGACTGCCCCTGCTTCAATTGACTATGCCAAGTTGGTGTAATTTGTGCTGGGTGCTATTAACCAACCAGAATATGTTGCAGCTARAACTGCAACAGTTTAAGTTCCAACTTAAACTAAATTATCTCCTGAAACCAGGAGGATCAAGAAGGTCGCATGCTTTGCTGAGTTCTGTTAGGCTGAAAGGCCACTTTGTGGGAGTTGGGGGTTCTTTGTTCAGCCTGCAGTTTTGAGGAGACAGTGTGGTCTAATATAGAATGCAGAATGTTTATAGAATTCAAAATATGCATAATTAGGAAGGAAGGAAGGGAGGGAGGGAGGGAGGGAGGGAGGAAGGAAGGAAGGACTATTTATGCATCTTTCATTCCTGTCTTTCATCCTTCACCTTTTTCATTTCTGTCTTGTCCATCATGAGGCAAGGTAGAAAAAGGATTCTCCTATGAAGAGGCAAGTAAGACCAGAATCTATCTTTCTACCATATTCACTTACTAGTGAATTGTTTATTGAATTCTTTGCAATTATCTATTTCTTATCAGCCATTCTGCTGTTTCTCAAAGAAAAGCAACATGAAGTTCCTTTTGAGTTTGCAACAAATATTTATTTAACAAAATGGATGCCACAAGCATATCTGCAAAATGTAAGTATGTATAACAAATGTACCAACAGTTGGTTTCCAAAATGAAATCAACATTAATTTTAAGGCAGGATATTCTGTTGGCTTTTCATGCAAGAGCATATTCAAATGTCCCTTTATCCAACCCCTCTACTTCATCTTCCCATGTAGAAGAAGGCATGCTACTGTAAGGGTCTAGCAAGATTTTGAAGCATCTGACRATTAAAAGTCCCAAGAAAACACATAAAATCCCCACAAAGGCAAAGCCAGTTTTTTGCTCTAAAGTCAGAGGGAAGGCAGACATTTCGTTGACACTCATGCTGGCTGAAGAGTTGCTGCAGTAATTACTGCTCATCATTGGTCATCACATCCTGGCGACTCGGTGGGATTTTCACCTCTAGCACTTCTTTGCCTGTGATTAAAATAAATAAATAAATAAAAATTTAAAAAATAATAAAAAAGGGGAATCAGTTTGGTTAAGTTTAAATGGGCTGTGTGAATCTGAGCTGTACCACATAAATATTTGTACATGAAAACAGCCTGGATTTCAGTAGCAGCCTGTTTCTTGTTTTGGTTTTGCATATTTGCCTTAATCTGATAAAATGATGCCCTTTAGCCCTCATGGACTTCCATGTTATGCAGGCACTGTGTACCTGCCTTTCCATGGAGTATTTCCATTCTGCCATCACACCATTAGCAGTCTGTGCTTTTCCAGCCAAGAGGCTTTATACTATATCCAGCCAAGATCTTTATACTGAGATCTTATGCATAGGTTTTAGTAGCAGAGAAGGGCTGTTTTTGCTTTATTTTAGGTTTTTCATCAGGTGCTAAATTCTCTCATGTCTCTACAGACAGCAGGAGAATTGGAAGGACTGGAATGAAAGGACAAAGGTATTTCAATCCAACACCAGAGTTGGGGATTTTKGGCTCTTGTTAACACCTATTAAACTAACGTGCCTCAGGGGAAAACTCTTYTTTGTTAACAATTCGACCATCTTTCCCCCTAGGGAATTGCCAGTATCCATTTATTTCTTGGCAGAGTAATTAGGCCACTTGGATCTCTCTGCTGCCTGTTACAGGTACCTGCACTAGCGAGTTTAAGGAGAGCTCCAGTATCACTACTCTGTACAGCAGTCACGGCTGATACTGCACTGTAGGCATATGAATCAGCCTAGAATTAAGATGAAAAGTGAAAACAAGAGTTCATATTTCTGACAGGAAACAACTGGATTTTTTTTTTTATCTTGTCTCATATTAACAATTTATGGGATTTTAAACAGTATTTTTGCACTGCTCTTTAATATAGTACGTATTAAGTAGTACAGTTTCCTATTACATTCTTTAGATATTTAGCAGAGCGTAATAACCCAACAGTCAGATAGATCTAYGTATGAGACTCTTACTGTTTTGAATGATATCTTGCTGCTTTGGTCATACTGGTTTGGAGTTGGAGAAAAAAATCAGATACAACCTGTGGGAATTAAAACTAATGTCAAAAATAATCAAATGTTATTTTCTGAGAATCTATCATAAAGCCGCCTACTGTACAGATTTTTCAGTAGACATACTTCCTGCTTTTCTGAGAGTTTGACTTTTTGGAGAAAAAAAAAAAAAAGACAAATTTCAATGGTGTCACAAATGAGTTGTTTTTTTAACAACAGCCAGGCAGAAGGAACTTCTCTTTCCAGAAGTCCAAAAACACTGGGATATTAAAATTAAAATGAAAGGTTGTACAAGGAAATTATATGTAGATACTACCTTGGAAAGCTAGAGCCAAAAAGAATACTGTTCTCCTGACACATGTGCTCACATCTCAAATAATCGGCCCTGGTGAATCCTGCAGCTGAGCTGAGTTCAGAGAAATAGGCGCACCTTCTAGGTGAYATTTGTTCTGCTTCCAAAGTCAAATTACAAGGACTTAAACCAAATGTTATTGTTTTAGCGCACTGAAATGAATAGGATTTGTTTGTGCATTACATGTTTGCTGTTGGTAGGAGTAATGGGACAGATGTGTGCAGATCCTAACTGAAATATGGAGTAGTAAGAAATTGATATATCTTGATCTCAGTCAGCAGGAGTTTCACTGGAACAACATACTAGGCATGACTGGCTGCATGAGAAAATAGTGGGTATTTCCATGGGTGCTGGAAATGCAAAATATACAGTTTTGTGCACTTGCTTCCCCTTTCTTGAGTTGCAGAAATTGTAAATGAAGCCTTAATGTTCACAGAACATTTTACTCTAATTGTGCATCACAAAAATTACAACAGTAAGATTGTACTTGAGTATATTTTAATTGGTTTTCACATTTCAGTGCTGCATACAGGTTAGAAGTCCTCTGCCAGCTAGTCAGACAGTCTTTCACTTGCTCTAGGGTATGCATAAAATCATGAGTCAGAAGACTATGAGTACTATCATGGCCTAGATCCAAAAGTCCTTGAAAATAACCTTTAGGGAGGCATGATGGGCTAGAATCTGTGGAGTCRTTTTGTAGGGATGGCCTCAGAGTGACCTTTGACTTTTTATTTTTTCTAGGTCAGAATTCTAGACATCTGTTGATTCATTCTCCACATTAAACACTGGCATAAAGAAGGGCTCCCTAACATACTGATGTGAAATACAAGGGCCTCCAGCAGTCTTTCAAAAAGAGAAGAAACATTCGGAGTCCAAGAAAAAATACAAATTGGGAAAATAACTCAGCATGTACGCTACTGAGGTAAGGAGCATGGAGGTATGTGCGGAGGTCTGGCTACATTGTGGAAAGAGGTTGAAATTCTTAATAATATTCTAGTTGCATCAGCAGTCCAACACTGGCAGTGTGTGGTGTGGACTGAGGATCCTAAACCCAGCACTTTGGTGATTTGTATGTCTTGTTTTAGAACTTAGCTTTTGCTCTCATATTTTCTGAAGTAGTGAGATTAAGTAATTCCAGACTTTCCTGCAAAAGTAGTCAGTGTTAAAGACTTCATAACAATCCTCCATGTWTTTGGGTTTTGCGCTCTCAGTTCCTCATTTCCTGCCAAAATAACCACACAGACTTGTGTCTTCACACGCATCTACTCACCCTGCTTTTTCTGTAATGGTCACTACTGGAAATGAGCACCTTTAACATGCAGAATTTGGGAGCATTCATCCCCTTGGCATGATTAAGTCTCCAGTGCCTGAAAACTCACTTCATAAACTAGAAAAATAAATGAAATCAGTTCGCCCTTAGATGTGTGGCAGGCCCAGCTGCTAGTTCACATCCATTGTYATGCTGAAGTTATTTCACACAGGCTCCCAGTCTCCAGCTTGTTTCTGAGTGACAGCAAACCCAACTCCAAAGGGTGTTCATGTGTTTAGGGCATAAACAGGCATCCTCAGGGATTTTGAGAAGCATCTCATTTACACATAGATGGTTAAGGAAACATAACTGTGTCTTGAGAGGAATTGATGGCAGGGTAAAAGGATTAATGCTGGAAAAGACCTGAAGAAACACCAGTGGGCTTGAATTCAGCATTYTCCAATGGGTCTGAGCCATGGGAGTGCTGGGGAGCAGAGCCTGCTCTGCCCTGTCCGTGTTCCCTACMTAGGACCAGGGAAAGACTCATTCCTCAGAGCACGCTTTCCAAGCCCCTGGACAGGGGTGCATGCAGGGGTGCCAGCAAAGGCAGGGCATGGCTAACTACCCCCCACAGCCCTGCAGTGCCTTTGCAGGCTCGGAGCTGCGCGGGCAGGCTGCACCTTTCCACGTAAGCTGCATTCCTCTGCAAAGAGGCAGTAGGGCAGGGACAGCTCCCGCTTCAGGCGTGCACTGAATTGCAGGAACGACATTTCATCCCGAGCCCATCCCCACGCGCGGGCTGCCTTGAGCAAGAGCTCCAGCACCGTGCGCCGTGTTTTGAATTCGTATCTCGGAGGAAGACGGGGCTAACAAAGGCACCGGGACCCCCTGCCCTGGGGGCTGTCACCCGTCACTTGCGGAGAGGCGGCGCCGGCCCCGCTCCCCGCGCAGCGCAATTGTTGCTGCGCGCCCCTCGCCGCGCGCAGCCGCCCGGCGCAGCGCCCTCCGCGGCGCGCAGAACGGGCGCTGTGGCTGCGCGCGCCTGCCCGCCCGTGTCCTCCGCACCCCGGGGCGCCGCAAGGTCAGCGCCCTCCCTCCGTACGCACCCGGCTCCTGCGCGCCCGCGCTGCCCATGGTGGCGGCTCCCGGCGGCGGTGCCGGCGGCTCTGGAGAGGCCGGTCCCGGGCGGCGAGGGCGCCTCTGCCTCCCTCCCTCGCCGCCCAGCGCTGCGGCCCCGCCGGGAGATGCTCAAGCCGCCCTAATTAAAAAATTAAACACGGCCTCTCCTCCTCCTCCTCCCGCCGCTTCCTGCCCGCCCCCTTCCCTCGCTGTGCAGCCGCGCTCCTCTCCAACCCCCCTCCGCACGGATTAAACTGAGGAGCGTGGAAACTTCCTGCAAAACGCTACGTGCGGCGCATCGCTAAGTGCGCGGCCCCCGGCCCGCGCCGCGACGGCCGCTCTCCGCCGCCCCTCACCGTCCCACGGGGCCGGGGCGGGAGGGACCGCGCTGCAGGGCGGCCACGGCACCTGTGGAGCCCGTCCCTGTCCGTGCATCGCGCCCGTGCATCGTGCCCATCCTCGTGCATCGCGCCGGTCCCCATGCATCGTGTCCGTCCCCTTGCACGGCGCCCGTCCCTGTGCATCGCGCCGCGAGCTCTCGGCTCCTCGTGGCGGCTCTAGTGGTGCTGGTGACCAAAGCACAGGGCATGTGGCAACAAATGGCYGGGCGCCGCTGATGGTGGTCTCGCTGCATCCTCTCAGTCGCTGCATTTTGCTGACGCCAGTTGAGCCTTGCGTTTGCCACGAGAGCAGGTGGTTAAGATGGATGAGGGAATGGGATTTCTTTTCCCAAGGCAGGCTCTGCGTTTGCACTAATATACAGCAAATATGTTTTAGATGATAGTGAATACACACCTACGTGCCAAGGGCAGCCCTGGAAGCGCACACATAGGTTAGTGAAGCTGGAGTGCATCGTAGCGCCGTGCAAGATTCTTTGAAAGCTGCTGTAGAGCTGCTAGTAGAATTTATTCATTGGAAAACAAATTAAAAACCCTGTAACTGTTTCTTGTTGCATGCAATAACACTATGATAGTTTAAACCTTCTTCCTATGACAAGCTGGGGGGAGGATTTCATGCTATTTGCCTATAGTGCCTCATCCATTCGCTATGTCTGCAATGGGCACTCAGTATTCCCATTAAAAATGTTCTCTACTGCTAGTAGAACTATTGGTTAATGCCCCCATGCTACTGGGCACTAATGGTTATTATTTGGTCTTCTAATGTTGCAATGTCAGACATGTGATAAACGATGCCTCTTGCTGAAATTATAACTCAAGCTAATTTTTGAAGTGCCTGTCATGTTTAAGAATACAAGAAGAGTTTATAAATAGATTGTTTTAAATAGTGTAAGACCATGCTTTCAGAATACATATATGAAAAGAGCCTCTTATGTTCCTAAGGGGGGCTAGTTTTCTTTTTCAATCTTGTCTCTGATTTAATAGGAGCCCCGTGAAGGTCTCTTACTAAGGGGGAACCGCTGTGGTTTGAGATTAGCTAAAATATAAAAGCTCAGATTTTCATGGTAACCCCAATGAATCTAGCACAACTTTTTGGGGAAGGTTGCCGGCTTTGTTGGTAATTGTTGAGTGTCACTATACTATGCACTATACTGTGCTTTCTTTAAGTGGGTCTTGGGAATAGCCAGGACTACTTCTGCCGTGGCTGAGCATGGAGGGCAGTGTTGGAAATGGAAATATGTAACTTGTGAGAGCACAGGAGTCATCTCTTTTAACATATTTTGGGCATGGACATTGGGTCTTTAATTGCTACTTACCATGGGAAAGGCATATTTGTGGGGTCCCCCTCCTAAAGGATATGATGCTGTGTTATTCTTTCTGCTTATTCTTGTAGAAATTAATATTGAGATAAAAAGAAAAAAAAAAGAATKAATTGCCCCTCTGATACTGCTGTAGAATAAAGGATGCTGACGCCATGTAACCATTTTTATGAACTTGACACTCACAGTTTAATATTAGAAACTGTACTTTGTGATGTTTCTATGTGTTGGAAAGCCACTTTTCATGGAAATGAAGCTGGAAAAGAAACTGACAGCCAGCAGCTGGGAGTGAGACTCCTACTCCCTCTTCAGCCACTGGTTGTCAACACACAAGTAATACTGCTGAAGGTGTTAGATTTCAAAATGAAAAAGCAATGAAATTACTTAATTTAGTCCTGTATTTCATTGCTTTTTCATCTGAAAGTCACTAGTTCTGTTGTTTTACGGAACAGTGTTTTTTTGGTGAKGTAARTGGGGTAACAGTTTATGTGTGGCCATTCTGCATGCATGGGGCTTTACAGTTCTATATTTGACTCCTCTTTTTGATTTGARCAGAAAAATAACTATCACTTCCATCTG